TCTTTCTTTCTTTCTTTCTTTCTTTCTTTCTTTCTTTCTTTCTTTCTTTCTTTCTCTTTCTGATTTTTCGAGACAGGGTTTCTCTGTGTGGTCTTGGATGTCCTGCAACTCTCTTGGTAGACCAGGCTGGCCTTGAACTCACAGAAATCTGCCTACCCTTAGTGCTGGGACTATAGGCTTGCAGAACTCTTTCTTTTTTGTTGTTGCTGTTTTTCGTGGTCTCAAGTAGGCCATGCTGACTTTCAAAGTTGCTATGTTATCTGAAGCTGACCTTGAACTCCTAACCTTCTTGGCCAGGGAACCATGGGGAATGGAAAGAAGATAGGATACAGAGAGGGTTTATAGCTACATAGAGCCCCCCCCCCCCCCTTTTACCAAAAGAAACAAGAATACCTCTTTTGACGAATTGGTTCCAAATACAGGGAAAAGTTAAGGGCCTAGGCAGATTGACTTTTTTTTTTTTGAGACAGGGTTTCTCTGTGTAGCCCTGGCTGTCCTGGAACTTACTCTGTAGACCAGGCTGGCCTCAAACTCAGGCCTTTGCTCCCCCCACCCCCAAGTGCTGGGATTACAGGTGTGCGCCATGCCCAGCTCAGATTGTCTTCTTTATATGAACTGTGCACTCTAGGTGACCCCAGCTCTTGACGAACCTGCCTCCCTTAGGGTACAGACATTTTTCTTTGAGGTTGTGAATACTAGATCGCTAGGCTGATTATGGTGGTGCCCGACTGTAATCTCAGCACTCAGGTGGGATGGAAAGTTCAAAGGCATTCTGGGCATTCTGGGCCAGGCATAGTGCTGCCTTGTCTTAAAAACAGAAGAAGGGGGAGAATTAGATCATTTGACTGCTCATTCCGCAAGTTCAGTGAGCACTTACTGTCTGACGCATTCGGGGTTTAAGGCCCGGAAACAGGCTGTGCTCTTAAGCAGGACTTCCATTGCTCTCAAGTCCAGTGATGTACTGTAACAAAGCCATGGATTCCTAGAAGTGCCTGAGGACACACACTTATCATTTGTATACTATCAGATAGTTTACATTCTGGCACAGAGACCTTAACTTATTCATATGTTTCAAAATGAATATTCCCTATGATTATCAACTTTCCATCTCTAGCAGAAAACTTTATTATTTCAGCAGCTTATCTTTTCCCTTAACCAATAGATGATAAACTGTTGTGTGCATAGCTTTCTGTTATTTGTTTCATGAGACAGAGTTTCTCTGTGTAGCCTTGGCTGTCCTGGACTCGCTCTGCAGACCAGGCTGGCCTCGAACTCACAGAGATCCGCCTGCTTCTGCCTCCCCAAGTGCTGGGGTTATAGACGTTCACGCCACCTTGCCTGGCTGTGGGCATAGCTTTTTACTGTATTTTTGTAACACAATGCTGGTCAGGTTTTGTTTCGTTTTTGTTCAATACACTTAGATACCTGTAGTGGCTCTAAACTGAATTTTCTGAGTGGGGCAGTAGGTATGATTTAGTTCCTGTATTCAAGAGGGCTCATAATCAAATTATAGTAAGAAATTATGATAAGTACAAAGTTCGGTGATGGTGTTGGGCTACAGTAGTGAGCAGAGCTGCCTTCCAAAGTTCACGGTCGGCACAAGGGAGGACAGAGGTCAGGCCTGCCAGGGTGAGGGACACAGCTGAGAAACTTGAAGTTTTGTTCCTACAGGTGGGAAAGAAGTAGCCAGGTTTGGAGGGGTTGGAGAGTGCTTTGCTGAAAGGCCGGCAAGGAGGTTAGCGTGAAGAGCGCACGGGCAGGAGGCGGGGGGGGGGGGGGGCAGCGGTCCGTGGCCAGTGGTCCTCAGCCTACACGAGTGCACTCCTTGATACTGCCAGAGCACTTCTAAGCACCACCCACGAGTCCATAGGAGCTTCAGTACGCGGCGGGTACTGGATGCATGTACGCTTTGTCTGGATGCATGCCCGTGCAGCACACGCCTGCGTGGTGCCTCAGGAGGTCGGGTGAGGTCATTGGATCCTCCTTGGACCAGAGTTACCGATAGCTGTGAGCCACCATGTAGGTGCTAAGGACTGAACCCATGTCTTCTGGAAGAGCAGCCGATGCTTTTAATTGTTGATTCATCTTTCTACCCCCCCCCCCCAGGGTGGTCTTATATGGCGTTATTTAAGAACATTATATGAAATGAGAACATTTATATGCCTTGTGATGCAGGGGCCTGGTAATCCATTTATCCTGCCTGTCTCTGTAAATTCCCCCAGCCCCATTTCTATTGTGCAATTAATTACTCTCTGTTTCTACTAGACTAGGAGTTGGGAGTAATGCCAAGTTTTGTCCACTGTTATATACTTTATTGCTAGCACATTTTGAGTTGAATAATTCCTCATGGGGGGCATCTGTGCATCCTGGCCTCTGCCCAAGAGATGCCAGCACAACACCCTTACC